GGAACCATGAAAGAGGGTATCTTTACCTTTTCAAAATATTCATTTTATCATTAGCAGAGCATAATGGAGGAGAGAAAATGGAGGAGACAAACTGTGTGACTAAAATATGAAGAATACTATGATAAAGGGTGACTTGGGATACAGAGAGAATTGCGCTTAACTCGGTATTGGAGAATTAAGAAGGATTTTTTGGAAAGAAGCTATATTTAGGCTCAGACCTAACAGTAGACTGGAGTTGATGTGATAGAGAGTGGGGAAGAGTGACGCTGACAAAGGGACAAATGTGCAAAAGGCATGAGGTGTGACGGTGGGCGTGCTGGGATGATGGTTTCCTGTGGTCCGGCGACCATGGCGGACGGGCCGCGCGTGTGAGAGGCAGGCTGGGAGGAGGTGGGCTGGGGCGGACGGAGTGGGGGGAGATAGGCTGCCAGGGAGGCAGGTGAGGAGGAGGCCGGCTGTGGAGAGGCGGGTTGGTGGGGGCAGCAGGCTGCGGGTTGGGACGGGGCCCAGCCAGGAGGGCTTTGAAGCCCGTCTTGAGGAGTCTTTTCTAACCGGAAGAGCAAAGGGATAGCATGGGGGGTGTTAAGTCAAGAAAGCCCTAGGATCAAATTTGCAGCTTTAGAAAGTGAGTCTAGTGATGGGTGGATCCCAAGAGGGTGGGCAATGCTGAAGACAGGAAGGAACGTAAGGCGGCCGGCTGCAGGTGAGTTAAGGAAGCTGCAGTGGAGATGGGGCTAGGGGGTGGATTTGAATGCTGATTGGAAAGGAGAATTGAGTCAAGTGATTGGAGGACCGAAGACAAGGACGAGAAGAGGGAGGGAAGGAAGGAAGGAAGGAAGGAAGGGAGGGAGGGAGGGAGGAAGACAGACAAGAGATGAGAGTCAAGCTATGACTGTGAGCCTTCCTATGGATACCTAGAGAGTGTGGGTGCCACCATGCATAGGACGCCCCGACCTGTACCACCCGCTCCCCTCACCTCTCACTCACAGCTGCAGGGAGTCTTAAACTACTTTTCAAGCTTGTGAAGTTCTGGGAATGCAAAGGCCTTCGGGCGAGTCCAGTCCCATGTTACAAGACAGAAGAGACCCGGGTAAAACGGAAAGACAGAGACAAAGTTCCCCGAAAACCTAACACATGCATGCATTCTGCCCGGGTTCATATGACTTTACTTTCTGCATGTAAGCAGAGCATAATGTCTATCAGCAACGAAAATCAGGCTCTCTCCAGGCCCTAATTTTGGAATGTATCCGAACATGTGGTACAAAATTATCAGGAGAAGCATTTTCTCTTGTAAAACATGAGATAAGCAGAGAGAGAGACCCTAACGGGTTATTTTATTTTTTACAATTTGTATTTCAGAGTAGTGGGGTCCATGTAAGGATTTGCTACATCAGTAAATCGCGTGCAGGTGAGGTGTGGGCCTCTAGCCAGCCCTCTCGCCCCCGGTAGTGGACCGGGTACCCAGAGGGTGGCTTTGTGCCCCTTTGCTCCTCCCTTCCCCCTTGAGCAGAGCCCAGCATTTGCTGTTTCTCGCTCTGTGCCCACGTGCCCAGTGTTCGGGGCCCATTCCTGAGAGCACACGGTGCTCAGTTGTTTCTGTGATAGTTCACTGAGAATGATGGGCTCCAGCTGCATCCGTGTTGCTGCCAAGGCCACGACTTCGTTCTTTATGGCAGTGGAGTGCTCCACCATGTATATGCACCCCATTTTCTTTATCCGGTCCACTTTCGATGGGCATCTGGGTTGGGTCTGTGTTTTTGCCATTGTGAATCGTGCTGCAGTGAACAAGTGTGTGCAGGTGTGTTTTTGGCAGAGGGACTTATGTTCCTCTGGTTATATTCCCAGAAGAGGGATGGCTGGGTCATATGGGAGCTCGTTTGTTAGCTTTCATAGGTCGTTTTTTGTCACTCCTTTCTTCCTCCGTACACATATTAAAAGGGCAGTTCTAAATTCTAATCTCAAAAACTAAATATTGCATTGTCCACCTTATTCGTCCCTAAGCGCCACATGGACCATAATCTTCTTCTTTGCTGTATCAGCGACAGAGAAACCACAGCCCCAGACGTTCATAAAATATACCCACCCTTCTGTGTGCTTGTGTCTGAAGTCACAGAACCAAGCCCAAGTTCGGGATTGGCTGCACATCTTAAACCGATTTGGGACGGTTGTCTTACCTCCTTGCTGAATGCGGTGAGCTTTGGAAAGCAGGAAGGCCTCGGCGGCGGTGGTCTTACCTGGCTTGAGGTGAGCGAACGGGATCTCGCCGGGGAGGAGCTGCCACAGACACAGCGCGTAGCTGAACACGTCGGCCTTGATGGTGTAGCGCGTGCACTGTGTGAACGCTTCTGGGGCCATCCAGCGCAGACTCTGCAAGGGGAAAGGTCACGGCCACTCAGCAGGGACTCGCTCCCTCCACCCAGCAGCGCTCTCAGGGAGGAGGAAGTTCTCCCCGAGTGCTCAAAAGGCGCAGAGTGATGCAGACGCTGCCCTCGATGTGTGCCACCAACGCGACTTGGACACACACAGTGAGTCCCCTGTGGCCGCAGAGGGGCTCAAAGGGCATTTTTTGATCACTGGAAGATCATAAAGTTCATAATGCTTCCAGAAACACCGCACTGATGTTACGCATCAAGGAACTCTGCCTCTTAGAGAACGAGGACCGTGACAGCAGCAATTTTTGTTTATCGATTAGCATCTTTTTTGAGAAGCCTTACGATAGCCAGAATAGCCAGCCACGTACTCATCCAGGGACCGATACCTCCCTGGGAGGGACCCATGCCCATGGAAGGAGCCTCCTCTAAGGCTGTAATTTAGGAAGTTACAAACTCGGGCCCATAAATAGTGCTCTTACGGTTGAGGAGGGAAAGGGCCAGCATATTCCTATGAAGTAGATTTATCACTGGCAGGATCAGGTCTGTTTTATTTTCTTTGCCCAGATGTACTATTTCTGAATACTGTTTGTGCAGTATGCCAGAAAAAAAAGAAGCCCATAAAATTTTACAAGTTTCTCCGTAGAAGAAAGTTCTAGCCTCCGTGCCAGTGACATTGTTTACATTCTTTTCATTTGCAATTGCCTAGTCTTCAGTTTAAAATATTAGTTTCCATCCTGGGATGCAAATGCAGAAGCTTGGCTTATTTGTAGCTCAGGGCACAGCACACTGGATGTTGAATTGGGAGGTGAACATTCTGGTTCTGACTCTACCCTGACTGAGTGGCTCTGGGAAAATCTCTTGTGCTTCCTGGACTTCAGAGTTCCTCGAGGACAAAACGGGGGAGTCAAGCCCTTCCAGCTCTAAAGTCCCATGGCTCCCGATCCTAGCAGTGGATTTTGCTAAACACCTTTGCCTGCGGAAGGAGAGCATGGTCTTTGATTACTCTCGCTGAAATCCTGTGTGTAGTGTTGGCTCTAATTCTCTTGAAACGTCCACCTAACTTGCAATCATGCATCATGACAGCTTTTCAAGAATATCTGCACTTCTGTTACGGTGCTCATGTGCGATTCTTCTACAGTGAACTCCGGCTTTCCACCGTGCATACAGTGGATGTCACGACCTCGCGTGAGTGGGTGCAAACCCACAGTCGACCTGTGTTTGCACAGGGAGATCATCGAGTGATTAGGGAACCTACGTAAGGCCCCATAGCTAGTAAGAAACAAAACAGCCTTCAGAATAAAGCCAGAGCAGCGCCGTGCTTTCAGGCTGTGCTGCTGGAATAAAAGAATTAACTTTGCTTGCTGTCGGTTCAATTCAGTTTAATTCTACTCAACGAAAGTGCATTTCGTCAGTCTCAACTGGCTGTATCTGGAATCACCCGAGGGAACTTCTAAAAGAAACAGGTATCCAAGGTCAAGTCTGGCAGTGACATCATAACTTCCAGGGGTTGAGCGTACAGACAGAGTTAAGAACCTGACTGAGCTGCCTCCGTGTCCTGGGTCCCAGCTGCAGTCTGTGTGTCCCGTGGAAGAGGATTCCCGTTTTCACCTCCCTGACCGCAGATCCAGTCACTTTGGCTTTGAACACCACAGGCGCGCTTCTGCCTCAGCGCCTTTGCACTTCCTGCCCCGCCCCCACGCTCTCTCCCCAGTGCAGGCAACTCCCATCTCAGGTCTCTTCTCCAACGTGGCCTCCTCCCTCCCCCCATCTCGATGGCATCGCCATCCCTCGCGTTCTTCCACTCTGCTTTTATTTTTCTTGGTCATACTCATCACCGCCTGATACGTATTTTGTTAATTTGTTCAGTGTCTAACTCCTTCCACTAGAACGTCAGCGTCATGGGAGCAAGGACTTAATTTTGTTCGCTGCAACAGCCCAGGCTCCTGGAGGAAAGTCTGGCATCTAGCAGATGTTCCGTGAGTGTTTGTTGAATGAATGAGTGAAACCCAACTGAGGAACCAGCAGGTGTAGCCACACGCACAATGTAGGGCTGTGACGCGGCCCCTGCCTTTCTCTCTTCCCTTATCTCCCTCTCACTTCCTCTCCCCCATGCTGCCCAGGTCGGCAATCCCAAGCTGTCTGAATTTCTGTGGGGCGGTCTGGTATTTCTCCTCCTCCCCTGTGCCTTTGCTCAGGCTGTTCACCGCACACCCTCCCATGCTCTCCGTGGTTCGGTTAACGCCTCCTGAGCCCACCCGAGCTCTCACGGTGTGTGTCATCTCTCCATCATGGAACTTCCACGCTACTTTCAACCTGTCTGCTTACGACTGTAATTTCCCCGCTAGAAAATGAGCTTCTTGAGGTCAGGGACTCAGTTCTTATTCCCAAGTTGCATTCCTACCTCTTTGCACCATGCCTGGCTCCTGGCTGGCTCTCAGCAAATGCTTGTTGAACGAATAGATAAGAGTAGACACTAACAGTGCAAAGTGACACAAAAGCACAGAAAAAAAGTGTGTGTGTGTGTGTGTGGGCAAGTATGGACAGGAACCCGTTCAAAATGGGAAAAATGGGAATGTCTGCCAAGCCTGGTGAAATGAGGAACCCTGGGGGGAAGGGGCAGTGGAGGGCTTTTTAGGCAGAGAAGGAGGGGCCACCAAGTGCCAGGGAGGTGAGGGTAAACAGCGTGTGTCAGGGCTTGGGAAAAGTTGTGGAAAAGCTGTCTCAGGGGCCCTGGGACCAGTGGGGAGGGCAGACGGCCGGCAGCAAAGGAAGTTGGATTTTGCCTGTGGACGGTGGGTGGGGCCCTGCTGAGGGTTTGCAGGAGGAGGGGAACTGTTCCAGCAGCACTCCTGAGCTGACCCTGCAGAGGCCTGAAGCCAGAAGCCTCGGGCTACCGTCCAGAAGACAGTCAAGGAGGATCTGAACTGAGGTAGCAGGAAATGAGAGTTTAAGAGGATGGGATGAACTTAAAAACAGGAGAAGGAAAAAATGAGACTGGGCACGGTGGCTCACACCTACAGTCCTAGCACTTTGGGAGGCTGAGGCGTGAGGATTGCTTAAGGTCAGGAGTTGGAGACCTGCCTGGACGACACAGTGAGACCTCGTCTCTACCAAAAAAAAAATTAGCTGGGCATGATGGCAGGTACCTGTACTCCCAGGTACTCAGGAGACGGAGACAGGAGGAGGCCAAGGCTGCAGCAAGAATGATCGTGCCACTGCCCTGCAGCCTGGGCGACAGAGTGAGACCCAGGCTCAAAAATAAATGTTAATAAATCAGTAAAAAGAAAGAGAATGAAACAATGAGAAGAAGGGAGTGAGTCATGTGTGATCAGAAACAGGAAGAGAAGGAAGGAGAAATGACTCCAAGTCTGGGTCGTGAGCTATCACAGTAGTTCTAGGAAGAGAGGTGTACTTTTTTGGAGGGGAGGGCCAGGGGACATGAACAAAAGAGCAGGAAACAATTGCAGACACTGAGTACAATCATCCTGGATCCAGATGCTGCAGTTTACATTTTACTTAGACATTAAGACTTGGCTAGACCCCTCATTACCATATCATGTTAAAACTGAGAACCATGAATAGTTAATAGATGCTGATGAACTACTAATTTTATAGTGGATTGTCTATTGAATGCTAACTCTACTATAAGTGGCAAGGCGATCTAAATATGAAATGATCCATGCCTACCATGTACTTTTCAGTTATATTTAAAACATACTCTGCATTATTTTATCCATAACATTTTCCAAATATATATCTTATCTCTTCCTCTAGCAGAGTCTTGAAATAGTTATTTTTGCGGGCTTACTAAAAATAAAAACATAAGACATTATCCTGCCACTGAGACAATGACATTTCTTCCAGCTAAAGCTGCTCTCATGTTACTTCCTCTCATGCTGAGTTTACACATTTTAATTGGTTTATAATTATAGGAAACATAAGCAGTAGCAAACCCCAGGCTGCTTTGTCATGTTGTCTTCATCCAGAGACTGTAGAAATCTTGATTCTGAAGGAAAGAGAAAGCAAATTTATGTCAAAGGAAATATCTCAAAACAAAGGTCAAAGATCACGGTTATCATTTTGAAACCTCCAGAAACCCCTGTCTTATTCAAACTCTTACTTCCTTTCTCTTGGCTGGGGATTTCAAAGGGGAAAAACCAGAAATAAATGATAGACTTTCAAAATTCAGGGTCACTGAAATTTGAATGACTTAGAGGTGTATAGCTGTCAGTGTGAAATCCATTTTCAGATTCATGGTGCAATATCAGGCGTCATCTAGGAATAAAGAAAGAAATAGATTTCACTTGCAATATCACTCATGGAAATCTTACCTCCAAAATCTGCCACCACGGCGTGCCCTTTCTCATACAGAAGAATGTTGTGACTGTAAAAAAAGCAGACTCTGAGTAACCTCTTCTACTTCCTAATCCAGCCGGTCCCCAAAGAAGTGGACCACAGACATCACTCGTTTACCCCAGATACTCAGTGGATCCCCCACAAGGCTGACTCTAATTTTCATAGTTTGGCTAATTTAGAAGAGAGATTTACAAAATGTGATTGTGTCCTATCTTATGTCAAAAGTGTAAAGAATTCCTATCTTTCACAAACCTTCTAAGCTTGTCAGAAAGACCCATTAGCTGAAGGTCAGTTTTTCAAAGTCCTTCAGGCTCATTTGCTAACACAACCGTGGTCACAGGAAAGAGTCAAGGCATCACAAGCCTCTCAGAACCAGGACCAGAGAGCCGGTTTTCTGGAACCCTGGCAGGCACAAGGACAGCTCAAGGCAGGCCTGCAGTGAACACAGCAAAAGGACTCCTTGTGGAAAATGCCTTGAACTATGGACTCAGCTACAATTGCAGGACAAAGGATTGCCTTAAGACCTGTGAAATGGCGCCAACTCAACCATTATTGGATGTTTTGAGAAGGAAAGCATAAAAGTCACCAAAGTCTCTTTTTCAACCCAGAATTCAAGTGAGATCAACAAGAGTGTCAGAGTAGATCTTAAATATTCTCATCATAAAAAAACAAGCTATATGAAGTGAATGAATATGCTAATTAGTCTAATTAGGGTAATCATTTCACAATGTATACATATAACACATCACTTTGTATACCACACACATGTAATTTGATTTGTCGGTTACACCTCAATAAACTGGAAAAAAGAGAAGTGTCCTATTTAAGAAGTAATCAGGGCTACTACAGTCTACAGAGAGGTTCTTCATCTCACAAATCAGTGAACTGGGTTGTGGACTGTCTTATAGACAAGTGTATGGTGATCCTCAATTGTCTTTGAAGGATTTTTGAATGTCTTTTTGGTGTCCATTTCACATTTGGCTTGTCAGTGAATCATTTCAGCATTAAAAGAGTCCCTCTAGAATTTCTTTTTAGTGCATATAAGCTATATTTATTTTGTAATAAATTACAGTGTTCCTCTAGCCTTAATTATTTTGTTTCATGATCAAAATAAGAAAAAACTGCCATTATTTATTAGTCCTAAGTCCAATGTACTATTGAATCATTTATGTAATTGCTTTCTGGCCTTGTCTTGACCTTTATAAGAAAGCTACTTTTGAACTTCTCTCACAATGGTTAATGATTTTACTTTTGGAGTATAGACTTAATCTTCTTTTCAATTGCAGAAAGTTTAAAATGTGTTAAAGTCAACTTTTCTCAGAATAGCACAATGTATAAGTATTTGAGGATGTTAAAACAACTTCCAAGAGGCTGTCTTTAACCACAAACTACTAATTGACACATATGGTTGGAATGCAACTGTCATGCCAAGGAAGTTCAAAGCATCAGGAGCTCTCTGGAAGTTCAAAGGCAACAAGGAAAGTGCATCTACATACTGTACCATCAGACAGTGTAGGTTCAGAAAGAGGTTAACTTGGAAGGGCAGTCAGTAAGTGTATAAACATGTGCTGAGACTCTGTCATGTGCCAGGAAGTTCCCTATATACTGGGACATAGTGGTAAACAAGACAGGCAAAGACTTCTGTCTTGTAGACAGGAGAACATGAGGCTGGAAGAGACAAAGAGGAAGAGCATTCCAGGCTGAGGGAAGATTTTGGCAAATGGCAAGAACTGGGAATGTGTGGGGCATGCATAGGAAGTATAATGAAAATGTGCTCTCTAGATTGGAGAGTACGTGCTGGCAAATAATGAGAGACTACTAGTGTGGAAGAGGGGTCGGGTCCCAAGGGGATTTGAAAGCCAGAAGACAGTTCTGGACTTGACACAGGAGGTGACAAGGAGCTAGCACAGTTTGTATGCAAAGCAGAGGATGTTCTGAAAGCAGACAGACTGGCATTCAAGGATGGTTTTAGATCTAGTTACCAACCAGCTAAAGCAGGAAGGTAGAGGAGAAAAGAGAGAGTGAACATCTGAGGGGAGTACCTAGAGCTGAGGGCAATGTAGATAGAATAAAAGGGAACTAAGTAACAAAGATGACCTTCAACATTCTAGTTGAATCTTCTAACTGTGAAGCAATAATCTATACCTTGAGCCAGGGCTGGCTTATCAGAAAGGCTGGGAATGTTTATGAATGTTGACTGGGGGACAGCGGAACTTGATTAAAGCCAAAGTTATGCTTGGCATGGCTAAACTCACCAGATAGAAAACCTTGACATTTATTAAATCAAAATGACACTCCAAGTGAGCACTGATGTTTAACAAACAACAGCAAGTCCGACAAAACAAAGGATGTGGTGACAGCTTAGAAACGCCTGACGATGTCGGTTCATAGCAGTGAATGGGGCCAGATGTCAAAGAGGATGCCTTGAGAATGACATTGCGGAGTGAGAGCACCTCAGGAGATGCCAGAAAAAAGTGAAGCTTCCTGTTCTCTTCAAGACAGTCTGCATCTGTCTCCTCTTCTCTAACTCCTCGGTAACCATAAAGACTGAATTTTAGAACACCCTTGACGGCTCTTTCATTCTGTTTCTTCAACGAGCGGTAAGCCACGGTTCCCATATGGAGGAATATAAATGGATGCGGACAGGTGGGGTGAAGTTGATGGAACCAGGGCTCTGCAATGACGGCACCACAGCCTTTGCTCAGAGTCAGAGAGGCCATCGGAAGGGTCGGCGGCATCAGGGTCGAGGCTCCTAGGTTAGGAGAGGAGCTTGGAGCAGAGTCAGCCAGTAGATCAGAAATGGGCAGTTATTATTAGTGATGTATTCCAGAGTTCATTACTGAGGAGGTCAAGGCTACAAGCTTCGGAAAGAGTGAACGCTGTGGGCCTGGGGGGCCGACATGGAGGGTGGCCGTCTAGAGAGAAGGAAGCAACCAGGAAGCGAGGGCCTCCTGCTGGCCGGCACTGGTGGTGTCAACATTTCTCCTTATGGAGTCACTGTGTGGTTGCTGTCAGCACACCTATTTTACAGATGGATGAAAGAGGCCCAGGGGTGTCTATCACATAGCCAGGGTCACAGCTGGTAAGAGGTGGAGCCGGCATTCATGGCAAAAAGTTGGCCCGTTTTAGGAGAAGCTGACTCCCACTCAGTCAGACACCAAGCGGCAGTCAGGACGGCTGCGATTAGATTTCCAGACAGAAACTCCAGAAATTCTGCCTGGTTGGAGAAAAGCCTACTGGCTCGTGCCAAAAACACCCGTTTCAATGTATGACTGGAAGGTAACGAGACTGAAATCAACCATGGAATAAATCGAACAATATCTATACTGCTGAAACAGCGAGCAAAGACTGGCTGATGTGTCATAGGCTCTTAAGAAACACGCAGGTGAAGGGCAGACAGTCACACCAAGCACACAAGGTGTCAGCACCAGGGCGACTATTGTCAGGATCCAAAGAGAGAAATGAAGGTGATGGCCATTCCCAGATCTTTCTCTCATAAGAACGCTCTCATAAGAGTCGTTTGTAGCCGATCGCGTTTTCATAGACTCTGGGGGAGAGGCAGTACTCCGTGACATCCGACACTGCAGAACACCCTTATGCACATGGCAGCATCTGATGGAGACAGCCAGGGGAGGCAGACCCTTCTGATTTGAATTTGACAAACCAGCAGATTTGATTTGATTGGACAGATCAGCCAACCTGTCTGTAATTGGTTGAGCCAGCACTTAGCCCAGGCCTCACCATCTGGGTGCAAGGTATCTAGGAGAAGTAACTCCAGGAAAGAAAAGGGTAAGGGAGGAGAAGCGACAAATGACACTGAAAGGAAGGAAGAGAATGGTGAATGTGTGCTGTGTCACACAAACGTGTGCACATAAGCTTTGCACCCAGACGTACGCGCGCGCACACACACACATTAGCATCCTACACTCTCCAGAAACATCTTCAAGGGTGAAATGTCACGGAGGAACGCTCTCTAGATAGCAGCAGTTTGGTAAAGACCATTCGAGTAATTTAAGAAGATAACGGTCAAGATACCCATCCTTTGTTTTTAGAATAATTTTGAGCACTTCTGGATTTAACATCTGGGTATCATCCAAATGAGCATGATGTCAATATTTCATGCTGTCTGCGAGTTTGTAATTTTGTTGTGTCAAGTGAGGCTTGAGCTCAAGAGCGAGTTGCTTAGTTGATGGGAGGGTCTAGTCAACCCTGCAGCGGCCGCGGTTCAGTGGCTTTCTCACTGCTGCGGGTCATCCTGATTTACAGGGGAAGTGATATGCCGGAACGGTGTTGATCAATTTGGAGATGGGAACAAATCCCGCATTTTACTGTTCCGATCTCTTTTCCTCAAGTCCTCAGTCCCTTGTCCCCGATGGTAGCACCGGGGCTAGAATGTTAGGTCAGCCAGTAATGACAACGTCCACTCCCCCTGCTGTGAAGGCCAAGTTCTGTGTCAGGAACTACCATGCAGGCCTCCAGAGAGACTGAGTCTAACTAGGAATGAAAGGCTAGCTGAAAAGAAAAAAAGATAATCTCACATAACTGAGAATTTAAAGTGGTTTTTGCTTTGAGGGACCTACAAAATAAGATAGTGAACGTAAGAATCATGAAAAACATCACTCTCCAAGTAAAAGAAAAATGGAATTAAGGAATAAGAGTGACGGGAGGTTATATAGAGCACAAGGACCTGCAATCAGAAGACAGTGCTCTATACTCAGACTTGCTGTTGCCAGTCCTGTGGTTTTGGACAAATGGCAATACTTTAATTTTCTGAAGCTTCTTTTCTCATCTTCAAAAATTGTGAGACAAATGATGAAAATTAAGAGATAACATATGGAATTTTCTTGCACTCTGAATTGCTAAGTAGGCAGTGGCTATTATTAATACACATAAGATCTTACTTAGAGTGTTGGTACGACTTCAATGATAACGCACTTTGGAAACTATAAAGTCATGTACCTTAGGTATTAAGTGACGGGTCTTGGAAGCAAAGTGACTTTCTAACCCAAAACCTCCAATAGAAACCGA